GTAATCAATCATAGACCCTCTGCCCTGTGCGCAAGTAACTTCAACATCTGACGGAGTGCACACTCGGCCCCGAGCAAGTTGAGGAAATCCACTGAGATCGAGATCATTGGCAGGAATGTTAAAGTCGCCCATCAAACACCAAGGGATAGATAGCGTACCCACGAAGACGTTCGATATTCTCCCCACAGACACCCAGGTCCGAAATCCGGTAAATCGCGCCGACAGCGATGACAGCTCGCTGAGTTCTTAATTCCAGAAAAAAATCAATTGGGGCCAGAACCCACATCCTGGAGGCCTTTCTCAGAGGCCAAGAAACGTCGAAACGCAAGTCCCTTGGATACAACAGCTCCTACTTCTCCGTGTGTTCCCCCTCCAGGGGAGGGGAGGGCAGGGTAAAAGTGCGGCCCCCAGCCGATCTGCGCAGCATTGCGCGTTGCCTTCTTCACAGCTTCCTGCCGAAAATGTGTCTCTACAAAGAAAAACCCGTCTGAGATCGGCCTGAGCTCCTGGCAGAAATTCAGGGCGACCTCGTTCCAGGAAGTAATATTGCAAAAATGAAGGTTGATCCCACCAGACGTTGAACGACCTCTGGACGCACTGCAGTGTCCTAGTTGACGCCGATCCCGTAGGTGAGGAAGGATAGCGCTAGGGGCACTGCGGTAGCCCATCTGAACCTGACGCTGGCCAGGGGGCCGGTGGTCCACAAGGTCCGCCTGCTTGCATCTGTTGAAGAACTCGTTCAAATGAAGCCGCTGCACCTTCTCGAACGGCACGTGACCTTTTGGCTGCCTTGATCTGGGACTGCTTCTGCATGAGTTTCTCCATCGTGTCCAATTCTTCAGGCGCGAGTGCATTGTCGATGCTACGCTTCTTGAGGGTGTCGAGCTCCATTCTGGCGTCGTCATTCGTGGCCTCACTAGGAGCGTCAGACATAGCATCATCATCAATCTGAGCTTGAAAGGCCTTGATCTGCTGCCAGAACTCGTAGCGCTGGTGGTGCTGGGTGCACCAGGCACGGAGAGCAGCCTCATCCATACCCTGTAGATTAGCAGGGACAGGGGGTACTTGCCCAGGCTCACGACCAGCGGGTGCCTCACGGTCGCCACCGCCAGCAGGAGCAGCGCCATGTACAGGACCAGCACGAGCACCAGCACCCGCTTGTTGAGGTTGCTTAGCCTGAGCACGTGCAACTTCAGCAGTTGCGTCACGTTGGGCACGAATAAACATTTCTCGCTCAGCCTGTTCGTCGGCCAATATCTGCTTACGATGCTCCACTGGGTCAGACGAATCCATCTCTTCATATGCGGCACGATGGGCAGGTGCGGCTTGCTCGAGCTGACCGACCGCCTCAGCGTGGGAAGCTCCAGCCTTGACCAAAGCCTCTTTGTGACGAACCACTGCAGCCAACTTCTGCTCGACATCGTACAGAGCCAGCCGCCAGCCGCTCAGCTTTACAATCTCGTTCAACGGCCATGGCGAGGGCAGCGCGTCGCTTCGCCACCTTCTTGTCCAGGTCGTTGTCTGACGAGGCGGGTACTTCATGCGGCGGAGGTGGAACAATACCGCCAACACCGCGTAGAGCTTCAGCACGTTCAGGGAAAAGGGCAGCAAGCCGTTCGAGTTCAGCATCGAACGAAGCTCCTTCTCCTTTAACTTTAGATTTGCCACGACCATAGCCATGACCGTCATCAGCACCACGTACACCGCCATCAGAAAGAACATGATACTCGCCTTGACATTTAGAACAACAGGAATGGCCGTGAGACACATATTCCCAATGCCCACACTTTGAGCACACTGAGGAAAAAGAGGAGGGAAACGAGGAGGAAAAAGAGGAGGAAAAAGAGGAGGAAAAAGAGGAGGAAAAAGAGGAGGATGATGATGATGATGATGATGATGATGATGATGATGATGATGATGATGATGATGATGATGATGATGATGATGATGATGATGATGATGATGATGCTGATGCTGATGCTGATGCTGATGCTGATGCTGATGCTGATGCTGATGCTGATGGTGATGTGATGCTGATTGGATGATGATGATGATGATGATGATCGATGATCATGAGCATGATCATGATATGATGATGATGATGATAGATGATATGATGATATGAGAGATGAGGAGAGAGGAGGAGGAGGAGGAGGAGGAGGAGGAAATGGAGGAGGAGATGGAGGAGGAAATGGAGGAGGAGGAGGAGGGAGGAGGAGGAGGAGGGGGAAAGGAGGAGGAAGGGAGAAGGGAGGAGGAGGAGGAGGAGGAGGAGGAGGAGGGGGAGGGAGAGGAAAAGCTAAAACGGCGGCAAATCTGCCACCGAAGCCGGTTCTTCCGAGAGAGAGTGTGGCAAAGATCCACCTCTTCATGCAGCACGTCTTGCGCGACCGCGCGCTGAACGGCCATGCCAAGGACCCCCCCACCACTGGCGAGCATAACACAACACGATCCCTCGTCTGATACGCGCGTGCTCATTGTGGGCCTCATCGGCCAAATACTCCAGCACCCAGACAGTAGAGAGCCCCCAGTCCTGAAGTAATCACACATTGACACGTGTCGTTGTTATCCGATCCTGCTCGCCCTAACAAATCTCCCACCATAATTTGAAGTACCTGGTCTTGCCCCCCCCGCCTTATAATGGGGGAAGGGAATGTTGCATCACAGAATGGTGGGCGCCCGCTGGCCAAGTGCGTTCCTTTAATGACCAAGTCCACGCGCCGGGAGTTATCGGGAGAGACGTGCAGGTGCGTAGTTCGCAAAAGTCGCTCCTCATTTTCGTCTGGTACAAAGCCCCCCGCCTCTGTGAACACATGCTTCCATGCCAGCACATATCCCTTGGGCCGTGTATGCCACCTGCCACCGCAGGGGCCGTTCAGGCGAGCATGCCCATGTATTTACGTCAGGTCCAGCAAAGCAGATGCTAATGCCCTATCGTCACCGCGTGTCGCACTGAAGTTGGTTGTTTCCCATTCGTGCCAGCGCGGATGTTGGGGAGACGGCCAGCCATGTAGCACTGAAAGAACTTGTGCAAGATGGCAGCCTTCTCTTCCCGAGTGTCGCAGCAGTTCTCTGTGTGCTCGGCCAGGCTAAGAGGATCTTTACATCGGTATGAACTTTGTGCTCCACGGCGTTGGACGCGTGGAATTGCCATCCACGCTGCCACTCTCCCACCGTGTCTTGATCGATGGGTGGGTTCGGAGGGCGTGCCCCAGCAGCGACGTCGTTCCACGTTGGCCGATCTTTTCACCCTAGGTCGGCACACCACTTTTCAACCATTTCCGCTGCTGTAAAGCATTCTGGTCCTGCGTGCATGTCGTCCTGAAGAAGTAAGTGCTTGGAGTGCCCGTGTCGGGGGTACCTGTCCAGTGGGTCGGGCAGCGCGTCCGCCCAACTCGCCGAAGAAGCGGCCCTGGAGGCCCTCCCAGAATTCCGCATGCCTGCCCCCCCTCGCCGTTGGGGAAGTTGCGCTTGCGCCACCCATGTGTTGTATGCCGCATTGTGTAAGGCAGCGTCCCACACATCTTCGGCAGGAATGCGCAAGGATGTCCTAACAGGTTGTCTAGGATGTGTGCATCAACCAGTTGGGCAACATTATGCAGTTTGTCTGGGGATGTGGTCCGAAGTAGGTGGTTCAGTCGTGGCACAGCGCAGGGGTACAATAAAAGCCAAGATGCCAAGATGCTTGCAGCGCGTGGAGCTTAGGCAAAAGATTTGTCAGCTCCACCGTGTCCGCAACTGGAGGTGCAGTGTGATGATGATGATGATGATGATGATGATGATGATGATGATGATGATGATGATGATTGTCAACATGAAGGAGGACAAGGATGAGGATGAGGCTACGGATGGTAATGTTGATTATGATGATGATGGTGGCGATGATTTTGATGATGATGTTGTTGATGCTGCTGATGCTGCTGATGATGAGGGTGCGGCTGATGATGATGTCGGTGATGGCAATGGTGACGGTGGAGATGATGGTGATGGTGGTGATGGGATTGATGATGATGATTATGATGGGGTACGTGATGATAAGGATGTTGGTGAAGAAGAGTATGGGGATGGGGATGAGGATACTCATGGTAATGATGATGCTGATGATAATGACGACGACGACGACGATAATGCTGCTGCTGATGATGCTGATGATGACGATGGTGTTGATGATGATAGGGATGGTGATGCTGATGCTGATGCTGATGATGAGTATGGGGATGATGGTGTTGATGTTGATGCTGTTGCGGCTGATGATGACGGCGGTGATGATCATGGCGACACTACAGTTTTTGATGCTGATGATGGTGCTGGTGATGATGATGGTGGTGATGGTGCTGATGGTAATGGTAGTGGTGATGGAGATGGTGATTGTCATGACCATGTTTATGGTGATGGTGAGGGTGATGATGCTGTTGGTGATGATGATGATGATGATGATGATGATTATTGTGATTATGGTCATGCGTATGCCGATGATGATGCCGGTGCTGATGCTGATGGTGATGGCTGTGATGATGATGGTGGCGGTGATGTCGAAGGTGATGGTGATTTTGGTGGTGATGATGCTGCCAGTGATGGCGATGATGGTTATGTTTCTGGTTATGTCTATATTTTTGAGTATGGCGATGGTGACTATGCTGGTGGTGCTGGTGGTATTGATGATGATGATGATGATGATGATGATGATGATGATGATGATGATGATGGTGATGATGATGATGATGATGATGATGATGATAATGATAATGATGATGGTGGTGGTGCTGGCGATGGTGATGATGATGCTGATGGTGAGGATGGTGATGATGGTGATGGTGGTGATGATGATGCTGCTGATGATGATGGTGATGCTGATGACGATGACGATCATGCGGATGACGGTCATCATGCTTAGGACGACGTGGGGCGGGATAGGAGCAGCCGCAGCAGGGGGGCGGCGGGGGGAGAAGGGAAAGGGAGCAGGAGGCGCCACAGCAGCGAGAGGACCCCGCCCTCTCCGCAGGGAGCCACCGCTGAGCGCCCGGCGGCGGCCGCTGCAGGCGGAGCCGGCCCGCCCACCACTCCATTGGTGGCGGAGGAACGAGGGCAGACGGGGAACGAGTGGAGGGGCACGGTGGAGCAGGTGCTATTCGTAGCTGGAACATCAGTAGTAGCAGCAGCATCAGTAGCAGCAGTCTGAGTATTAGGTGTATCTGTATTACCTGACAGCGAGGACTGATCGAAACCGATTGCCCTAGCCAGCCCAACCAGCCAGCCCAACCAACCAGCCACCCAAACAACTCAACCGGCTCAACCAGCCCAACCAGCCACCCCGCAACCCCAGCCAACCCGCCACCCCGCCAACCCGCCCACCCCCGCCGCCTGCCCTCCGTCACCGTCGAGAGGGGGGGGGGAGTGTTTCTTACCAGCGAAAACCACAAAAATCACCCTCCCGGGGTCCGGCGGGACAGCGGGGGGAGGGGAAATCGCACCGTACTATGCAGGAGCGGGGTTCGCTCCCGAGGTGCCCAAGGACGATTTGGGGCCTCAAATACGACACTGTCGTCAATTTATTACCTTTCACCGCGCTCCCCTTCTGAGCGGAAAGGCTCCCATCCGTGAAACCGTCGTCATTTTTCAGCCCCCGAGAGAGGCTTCTGGAGGCCTCTTGGGCCGTTTTGGAGGCCTCTTGGCTCGTCTAGGGGCTATCTTCGGCGTCTTGCAGCGCTCGTTTGGGCCGTCTTGGGGCGGAAGGCTCGGATTGTCGGTTGAAGCTCCACCTTTCGGGCCCCTTTGGAGCCCGTCTTGGGGCCCTCTTGGGCCGTCTTGGGGGCCTCTTGGGCCGTCTTGGCGCCCTCTTGGGCCGACTGTAGCGCCTCTTGGGGGCCTCCTGGGCCGTCTTGGGGCGGTGTTGGTGTGCTCTTGGACCGTCTTCCACGCCGCAAAGGCCGACAAGTCGTACATGATGAAGATGTACGTTTTCCCATAGGAAGCTGACGATTTTCGGCTCTTCGGCCCTTCTGAGGACTGCTCTTGGAGGCCTCTTGGGCCGTCTTGGAGGCCTCTTGGCTCGTCTTGTGGCCATCTTCGGCGTCTTGAGGCGCTCGTTTGGCGTCTCGGGGCCCTCGTGGGCCGTCGTGGAGACGTCTTGGGACCTTCTTGGCCCGTCTTGAGCCCCATGTGGGCCCAAAAGAAGCCCTTGAGTCGCTCGGCATCGGCCCGGGGGCGGGGGTCAAATCGTTGGTTTGGGTTCCCATGGGGGGGACTATGGGGGGGGAACTATCTCACACGCCTAGGGACCCACAAGGGGTCGGCGGATTTGTTGTTGCCGCTTCCGTGTTTTTTCTTTGTTTGTTTGTTTGTTTGTTTGTTTGTTTGTTTGTTTGTTTGTTTGTTTGTTTGTTTGTGTGTGGGTGTGGGTGTGTGTGTGTGTGTGTTCGATATCCCCCGGGCGTTGTTTTATGTGCAGACGTATGTGTTGTGTTAATGGTTCAGGTGATTTGTTTCGTGATGTTGTATGTTTCTTGCCCTGGCATCCCAGACGTTGCTTTATGTTTTGTTTTGTTTGCGAAGGTCGACTTCCTCCTCCTCCTCCGCATCCCTCTCCTCCTCCTCCACCTCTTCCTCCTCCTCCTCTTCCTCCTCCTCCACATCCTTCTCCTCCTCCTCCCTCCTCCTCCTCCTCCTCCTCCTCCTCCTCCTTCGTTTCCTCCTCCTCCTACCCCTCCTCCTCCTCCTCCTCCTCCTCCTCCTCCTCCTCCTCCTCCTTCTCCTTCCCTCCTCCTCCCCTCCTCCTCCTCCTCCTCCTCCTCCTTCCTTCCTCCTCCTCCTCTTCCTCCTCCTCCACCTCCTTCTCCTCCTCCTCCCCTCCTCCTCCTCCCCCTCCTCCTCCTCCTCCTCCTCCTCCTCCTCCTCCTCCTCCTCCTCGACCCGAAAGCGGGACGACGAGGACCGTTTAGGGGGGGGTAGGCTCAGGGCGGGATCCCATCGACCCCCTTACTCGCCCATTCTTCGCCGAGGGGGGCTTGCACCCCCCACTCCGCTCACGAGCGGGCGGCTTCGCTCTCGAGGGCATTGGCCGATCTATCGGCGACGCGTCGCCGATCCCATGTCGATGCTCGGCTGATGTGCACAGCAACTTCACGACAGTGCACATCTGGGCAATGCACTTCCTTTCCTGCTTGTCATTCCTCCTCCCTGCTAATATCATCTGTCCTGCCTCCCTACCTCTTCTTCCTCCTATCCCTCAGCCCTTTCCTGCCCTACCTCTGGCTCCCCCCCCCCAAGGTAGTTGCCCCCCATCGCTGCCCCGAAACAAGGCGGGGGCGCACCGTCTGCGGGATCAGGCGGCACTGGCGTCCTGCCTCGGGGGGGCTTGCTTCCCCGACCTGTGGGTCTGGCGCCCACGCGCGAGACCCACGGATCCGTAGTCCAAAGACGACGCGAGCCCGACGACGACGACGACGACGACGACGACGACGACGGCGACGACGACGACGACGACGACGACGGCGACGACGA